ATAAAAACTACTCTCTACACTTTCTTCTCTTTGTGAATTCTTTTACAGCCCATATTATCTTCTACCTTAACAAGCATGGTTAGTTTCTTCTTGGTGACTCAGAAGCGCTTGGTGACACGCTTGGTGACCCATGCCCCCCTTCTGGGGACTAATCATTGGCCTGCGGGCACATAGCCCCAGTCTCTGCCTCCACTGTCACCCAGCCATTTTCCTTCTGTACCTGTCTCTGTATTCTTCTCCTCTTCTCGTAAGAATATTGGTCATTTTGGACTTAGGGCTCCTCTTATTCCAGAATGATCTAATCTTAACTGATTACATCTGCAATGACCCTATTGCCAAATAAGATCACATTTGGAGAGTCCAGGAGGGACATGAATTGGGTGGGGAACACTGTTCAACCCAGTATATCTGCTTCAAGGTCACAAAGCATTAAGTTTGTGAAGTGTCTCTATCATCTCCTCTTGACATGGACCTTTTCATTAAATTGTTTAACTTAGCCCTGGCTGGTGTGGCTCAGTGGATTGTGGGCCAGCCTGCCAATCAAGGGGTCACCAGTTCCATTCCCAGTCAGGACACATGCCAGGGCGGTGGGCTAGGCCCCCAGTAGGGGGCACACTAGAGGCAACTACACATCCATGTTTCTCTCCCTCTCTCCTTCCCTTCCTTTCTCTCTAAAATTTAATTTAATTATAAAATTAAATTTAATGAAATTAATTAAAAAAATAAATAAGATCTTTAACATTTTTTGACTCAATTTTTTTCAGTGTTTAAATTTTTTTATTGATTTGAGAGAGAGAGAGAACATTGATTTATTGTGCCACCATTCACGCAGCCATCGGCTGATTCTTGCATGTTCCGTAAGCAGGAATTGAATGCATAACCATGCAATGTCAGGACAGCGCTCTAACCAACTGAGCTACCCGGCCAGAGCCCCTTCCATTACATTTGAACCCCACGCTCCCATTATGTTATATATTCAGGACATATGATTGAGGAGTTTAATAATTGGAAAGAACAAGAATTACCCCAATGGGATGCCACTGTACACCTACCAGATTGGCAACAACTTTCGAGTGCAATTAAAAACCAGCTGTTGGCAAGGGAATGAAATAACAGGAATGTTCATTCACTGCTGGTGAAAATGTAAACTGGTATGATCACTTTGGGATAAAGCTGGCAATATCCAAAGAGCTGAAGATAAGCATGTTCTACTGCTCCCTTTAGTTCTATGTCCTACAATCCTACAAAAATGCATGTCAATACTCATAAGGATGCATTTACAAGAATTAGGAGCCTTGCCCTGACTGGTGTAGCTCAGTGGGTTGACCGCAGGCTGTGAACCAAAGGGTCACCAGTTTGATTTCCAGTCAGGGCACATGCCCAGGTTACAGGCCAGGTCCCCAGTAGGGGGCACACAAAAGGCAACCACACATTGATGTTTCTCTTCCACTCTTTCTCTTTCCATTCACCTCTCTAGAAACAAACAAACAAAATAAATAAAAGCAAGAAAATGAGTAACGCGAAAGGCAGGACAGCAGTTATGCTAGCAGGGAGGAAGGGGCTGTGATCCAGCAAAGAACACACTTGGGAGTGGGCTTCTGGGGTGCTGGTAACGTTCAATTTACAACAATTTATTTGTTATGCTGTTTTTATGTTCTAGCACTTTTCTGTATTTTAGCTTCTGGACTTTGGAACCAAACAAAGAAACTACTTAGTAGCTGTTTGAATACATTGCTGACGGGACAAAACTATAAGACCCCACTTGAAGAAAGAAGATAATGAAACAAAAAAAAATGTGAATCTCCCTTTAAGAAAGGAGTTAGTTTTTAATAGAAGGGAAACAAATGAAAAAAACCCACTGAAATAAAAAAGACCTCTGTGCAGGTGCTGTGCTATAAAATATTCTCATCCGTGTTGTTAAATGAAGCTGGATTTACAACCTGGTAAACGAAACAAAGAGCTTGTGTCGAGCTGATGAACCTGCTGGAGCTCAAGTCTAGTGTACTTAAGTGACAGTTTTTGCTTTTTCATTTTTTTCTATCCAATGTAAAAAGATGCTGGCTTCTATCGTTGTGAAATTGCTTTACTGCAAGACTGTCTTAACCCATTTGAAATGCAAACTTCTATCTTTGTGAAACTTGTCCCATACAATTGAGAGAAGTCTTAGTGACACTAATAATGACTTATGTAGACAGAGTCCCAACTGGGAACTAAGCCCTACTTTCAGCAGATTGTAGTTATTGAAACATTTTGCCATGACAGCCTTTAAATACTTCCTTACTTTGTGACACAAGAAACTGTTCCATTCCAGAGTCATCTCATATTTTCTCTGGTACAGCCATGGCGTCTCAGTGTTTTCCAAGGAGCCCTGGATTTTTTTAGTAGAGGATGGTATTTAGAAGCCAAGATCTAGGCTTCCATATTGCTTCTGGTGGGCCATTGTTAGTAGGGCCCCTCAGCAAACAGGCACAGGGAATACACACATATACGCATATTTTTATTTCTATCTCTATTATACCAAATGCCATGAGTTCACACTGATACATTGAATTCCAGTCGAACAGCACAGTTCTTTGAAGCTTTCCCCATTTTCATGCTTGTAACTCCCTCCTCCAGCACTGAGAAATCTACTTTTAAATATTTTGAATGTAACAAAGTTTATAATGCGTGTATTGCTGGTCTTTTAAAAAATGTTTTTCTCATTTATATTGGGCTTTGCTCTCCAAGAACTATCAAAACTCCAGATTTCATTTATTTTATTCATTCAACCAACATATGTTTATCAAGCAAATACTATGTTTTCGGGTAATGTTCTTGGGTTTGGGGATACAGCAGTGAACAAAACATCGCATTAGGAAAGGAATGTTGAAAGACAATGATAGATAAAAAGCTAGGAAATGGTAAAGCTGGGATCTGAACCCAGACAGCCTGGCTCCAGAATTCATACTTTACCATCTGCCTCTGATTGCTTTTGTAATTGCTCTCTGCCTTCCACAGAATTTTACAGCTCTCTTGAATCCAATAAAAATGCCTCTGTCAGCTTCTAAATCTACCCAATGCATCTTCCACATTATTTTTTCTTATACTCAGTGTCCAAATCTGTGAGAATACACTAATGCCAACCTGCTGGGAGGATAAATGAAATTATATGAGATGCCTGGTGCTACTTGTAGACACATCATAGGTATTCAGTGAAGTTAATTTTCCTTTTCTATTTCAACATAAATGCTACCCTATAAAGTTCTTCCAGAACAAAGTCTCTTTTCTTCATTCAGTCAATAATTTATTCATATATAGCCATTTATTCCTTTTTTGAGATTTTATTTATTTACTGTTAGAGAGAGGGGAAGGGAGGGAGAAAGATAAGGTGAAAAACATTGATGCGAGAGAGAAACATCGATCATTTTTGCTTTTTGTACGAGCCTCGACTGGGGACCAAACCCACAGTCCAGGCATGTGCCCTGACTGGGAATCTTGCCTACAACCTTTAGCTTTGTGGGTCAACGCCCAACCAACTGAGCCACACTGGTCAGGGCCCATTCATTCTTACATTCATTCAGAAAGCGTTTATCGAAAATCCAATATATACCAGGCTCTCTGCTAGTCACGGGGGATACAGGAATGGTACAGCCCCCATTCTCCAGGAGCTCACAGCCACATCCAGGAGACACACAAACAGTTACAATACAATCGATACGTATTACAGTTCAGATGAGAGCTAGAAGGGTGGTCACGGAAGAAGCCTTCCATGAAAGTACGGGCTCTGACATAACAAGGACTGGAACAGCAGTTCTGCTGTTAAAGTTGCCAAGGACAGCTAGATGAAAACATACACAGGTGAATGAATTTGATTCAGTTCAACAAATCTCTCATAGACGATCTTACTGCCCAAGGCACTGTGCTCTGAACTGGGAGTGTGCAGGTGTAAAGGGGGCACCTCAAGGCTCTTGATGAGCTTCCACAATACTTTTCCTGGCAAATACAAACTTCCATAAAGAGATATTTCAATAAATGGAGTGAATTGTAGGGGTAGGCAAGCTCCTGTGACAATGGGATGGTGAAGGGGGGCTCTAAGGTCTCTTAACGCAGGTCTCCTGGAATGAACTTGTTGAATTGAAGGGTGGCTACTTGTAGTAGATAAATGACAGTCACTGACAGCTTCTAATCAAAGGAATAGTATAGTCAAATTGGTATTTATTGATAGGATGGAGGAAGGAAGACCAAAATCGATGACACCAGCAAGGAGGCTGAATTAAGAATGCAAAGCGTGGGGTAGATGTTTGGTGTGTAGAATATGGCTGTTGTGCAAGTTCTTGGACAGTTTGTAGAGTGAACAGAGCATCGATGGAAGGTTCCCTGTGAAACACTCTTCCAGCATCTGGCAGAGAAGAAGCAGCCCTGGAAGGACACCTAAAGAAGAGTGAGAGGAGGACTAGGAGAGACTGGTGTAATGTTCTTGGGCTTGGGGATACAGCAGTAAAAGTATGGGTTCTTTCACTGCTCTTTCAAAAACGAGCGAAGAGAAGGCAGAGACAAGGAGGTTCAGGAAGGAGGGAGCAGTCGTGTCCACTGCTGTACAGAGGTCCAAAAAGCCTCCACGTGATTGGCAATAGGGGACCTTTAGCCAGAGCAGTTTCTATGTAAGTGGCGCAGGTGGGAGTTTCACTGCAATAAACGAGTGAATGAGGGAGTAGAAAAAGTCAAGGTGAGGACGAAAATGAATGAATAAATCAAGCGCCGTGCCCTCACTTGCCTTAGGAATTTCCAGAGCCGACGTCGGGAGCTGGTGCGGAGGAAGGGCCTTCCAGACAGGGCTCTGGCTGCCACCTAGGAAACCTGATAGCCTCGAAACCCTCAGGTAGGCGCGGCTCCAAGGTCAGGGTCACCTCGGGCCTCTCAGCAACCCGTCACCTTGACGACCAACTCAAAAAAACTGTGACGAACGGAAGCAGTCAAATCATCTCGCGATATCTGGCGGCCGACGCCGGTCTTCTGGGTCCGGGAACGGCGGCCAGCTCTCGCGAGTCTTCCCTGGAGTCGGAGCGCGGGGCCGGGTAGTAAGCAAAGCTGTAGTTTAGGGCGAGAAACATGTCGGATTCAGAGCTCGGCAGGAAGTGGGACCGGTGCTTGGCGGATACGGTCGTCAAGATAGGTAAGAGGCTCCTCGTCCCTGGCAGCCCCCGCCCGGAGCCGATGAGCCAGCTCAGGGCTTCGCTGATCTGGAGGGCGGAAGGGAAGCTCCGCGAGAGGTCAGGCTGCCCGGCCTGTTCCAGTCCCTCAGGCCAGGGCCGGGTGCCCGAGCCCGGGCTGGAGGTCACTCGGGCGGTGGGGGGCACGGGCCGGAGGAGCCAGGGCTGCGCCGAGTGGAAGTAGTGGAGTTGCGCCCGGAGGAGGTGGGGAGGAGGGGTTGGGTTGGCAGGTGGCACAACCGCGTGCCAGAGGCTCGAAATTCTCCCTGGGGCCACATCTCCGGCACCGGGAGTGGAGCCTGGTCAGGAGGCCAGGTCCCACCCCAGCTGAAACTAAAGTGCCTTCTAAAGGAGGTCATCGGGAGCACTTTATAACACCGCCAGGCCCTAACGTGAGTTGCTGTCATTCCCGAGTTGTAACCTGATTTATCCGGCCTGAAACCGGAGAGACTCAGTGACGGTGAGCTGGAATGAGAAGTGCCCTGGAAAGTAAGACATTGGTCACTTTGTAGTCCTTAATGTAACTGTAGCCTTTTCACACGTGCTCAGGGGCGACACGCATTACCAAGAGGGAATTCCTTTACGGAGCGAACGTTAAGTGCCAGACACTGTGCTGGGTGCGCAATTTCATTCATTACCCCATTGCGGGTCATGAAATTGAGAGGCCGATGAGGGGATTTGCTCGGGGTCTAATCAATGGCAAGGGTATTTGCCATTGGGTATTACCCATTAATGGGTATTTATCCCAGGCTTTCTGGGTTTATCCCAGGTCCCATGCTCCTTCTTCCATACTCATTTTTATTAACCAAATTTGATGTGTGTGGAAATCTTAGGGTACTTACTAGGATTGTCCTTGAATGAAATATAGGAAAAGAAATAAGATTGTAAGCTCCTTGACAGCAGTGATGTTTTTGGTTTATTCACTGCTGTATCCCCAACCCCTGGAAGGCTGCTTAGTAAAAGTCGTTGAGAAGAGAGAATCAATGAAGTAATGTATCTCAGATATTCAATACCACTTCACCCTTGAATTCACTACTTACCAGCTGTGTGATTTAGGGCAAGTTATTTAACTTCTCCATGCCTGCTTCGTCATTTGTAAATGGGCAGTAAAAATGATTACTATCTCCTGGACTTGTGAAGATAACATGAATTAGTTTTATGTAAAGGCTTGAGTATGACTCACTAAGAATGGATTATTTTGCAACTGACCAAAGAAATACCCAATTTTTGTTAATAGCTTACGTTTTAGAGAGAAGATTTAACACCTAGATATGAAATGACCAAAGTAGTTACCACCCAGTATGACGTAGTAGTTAAGAATGGGTGGTAGATAGAGCTGAGTTTGAAATCATCCACTCTCAGGAGTCATCTCCACACCCAGTAGTCTTGTAGCTTTGAGTAAAGTCGCTTCCTTAAATGTGGACAAAGAGACAGATTTACCTAAGAGGATTATGAAGAATGAAGGTCAGAAAAATACGTAAGATACTTGGCAGAGTGCCTGGCAATGTGCATGTAGTAAATGGTGGTAGTGATTGCTGATAGTAGTATTGTTTTGCCAGTGACAATCTCGTGAGGCAGTGTGCAGTGCCGGCTTTTGTGAGTGGGACAGTGGTTGGGGGTGTGGCATACACAGGTAAAAATAGATGAAGCGAGGTGATGTCTGACTACAGATAAAAATGAAAATGATTCCGACTCTTTTTACTATAGCACTATAATAAATCACATAAGTGGATTGATGGGCTAAGGTGGTCTAGTAAGGGTTTGCATGGGGAATGGGCCGGTTAACTGACCTTTGGAGAAGGACTCGGCTGTGGATGGTCAGGAAGGGCAGGAGAACCTGAGCAGAAGCCTAATGGAACGTACAAGGAGGAGGAGACTGAAGCCCGGAAAGGTCAAGTGGCCGGAAGCGGAGGAGCTGGTTAGAACCTAGGCATTGTCATTTCGGAACCCCTGTTCCTCAGGGAAGGTTGGTTCAGGTGAAGTCAGAACTGTGACACGTCTCGGAGAGACTCCACTTTGACTTCAAGGCTTTTTTACATGCATTCTGTAGATTCAAGGCCTGTGCTTTAGATTAAAGCTACTACTTGATGCTTCCAGGTCTCATTACACATAGGCCAATGGGGAATCATGGGATGGTTTTAAACGACAAATACTTGTTGAGCTCTGGGCCAGTCCATGGGCAAATAGAGAAGCAGAAGGCATTTCACTGCCCTCACCAGGGAATCGGTGTGATAGAATGGAATATTCATACTGTTCTGGCAGTGTTTTATACAGAACAGATTTGGAGTAGAGGAGGCAAGCAGTACTGTAAATGTGAAGCGATAAAAGTCTGAACTGCTAGGCCAGAAAGAAATATTTGAGAAACTCCAAACTTTTTCCCCATTTATAAAATGAAAACAGTATAACCTACTTCCTAGACCAGCACAGTGTCAAGGACGGAGTAGGAACTCAATAGCTGCTATTTTTTCTTATTTTCTCTCTAACTGGTTAACTTTACCTTGTCTTCATTCCTTATAAAGATGACTCCTGGCCCCGGCTGGGCAGCTCAGTTGGTTAGAGCGCTGACCCAATACACCAGGGTTGCGGGTTCAATGCCCCATCAGGGCACACAACAAGAGGCAACCAATGAATGCATAGGTGGGTAGAACAACAAGTCCATGGTTCTCTTTCTCTCTCTCTGTCTCACTCCCTTCCTTTCTCTCTAAGAATTAAATGATTGCAAGGTTAGAACTTGGGTACATGGTAATGTCATTGATCAGAATTTGGAAGTAAAACAGGAGTGGGGTATGTGTATCTCACTTACACCAAGTAACATATAAGACTTAGTAACTGGTTATATTTAACAGGAGAGAGACTATAGGGAGAAAACAAGGTCACGATTTTGGTTGCTTTTCTCAAGCTTACGTAGTTGAATTTGAGAGTGATATCTGAGAAGTTGAAAGGGGGAGCTGAGTTCAGATTTTGAGGTGGTTGTCCTTTTAGTGATGGTCTTAGAGACGGGGCATAAGAGGGGCGAGGCATGGAGTCTAACTTTGGGAGGCTTTATTTAGTCGGAGGGTCCTTGAGGCTGTGGGGGTGGAGTGGTGAGGGTGCTAGCTCCTGCTCCTTTTAGGCGGCGAGAACTCTTTAAACCTCTTGGGAGGCGCGCTTTTCTAGCGCTTCAGGATGGGAATGGACTCGGAGTGGCAGCCTGTCAGAAGACAGAGGGGTTTAGAAGAGTCAGGCAGGGAAAGAAGGGGCCAGTGCAGGTGTCAGTTCCCTCTTGGTACTTCTACACTCTCCGCCCTGACCAACGCCGAGGGGCAGCCATGGTGAGTGGACAGCTCCCTTTGTGAGCACATCTCTGTTTGGCTAAAGCCTTTTTGTTTTTGCCCCACTTGCTTGCTGGGGGGGGGGGGACTTTTAATTATTCATGTTTGACCTAGATGTTACACAGGTACCTTAGGCTGCATTTCCTTTTTAAAAAATATATTTTATTTACTTTTAGAGGGGAAGGGAGGAAGAAAGAGAGGGAGAGAAACATTAATGTGTGGTTGCCTGTCATGTGCCCCATTCTAGGTACCTGGTCTGCAACCCAGGCATGTGCCCTGACTGGGAATCAAACTGGTGACCCTTTGGTCACTTGCTTAATTCACATGTTTGATCATGTGTCCTTATGCTCTGGGGACTTTTATCAACTTTTTATTTCACCTGGGGATGTAAATTACTGTCAGTAAGTCTTAATGTTAAAGGAGTATTAGAAACGTTTGGAAGTCATCAACCAAGAAACGTAAATCAGAGAGCACTTTTATTTTCAAACAAGTAGAGAGTGATGCTTTAAATGCTAGTGCCAGCGCCTTACTGCAGGAAATGAACAAGGGATGAAGAATATTACATTTCATAAATGTCATGTTCGGTAGTTTTATGTGAATGCGTCATTAATGGCTTTTGATAATTTTACGGATTTATTTTTAAGTTTGTTATCAGATTTATTGGATGCTCTGGTTTTCTTTCCTCATTCACTTCAGGGCCTGTGCCGTTTATTGTCCTTGTAGTGCTGAGTGATTTGTCTTGTATGCACCCATATACCTCACACATTCTTGTTAATGAAAATGGGAAGATTAGGCTCTTGCCAGTATAGACTGGATGGGAGGGTCTGTATATTCTGTTTCCAGGGAAAATCAGATTGCAGATGAGAAAGCCATAGATACGAGGCCTATGGAGGTGCCTCCCTGTGGCTTGAGCATCTGAGCCCTGCACACGTGGGTCACCCAAGCACCGACACTGCCTCGGGGTCCTGTTGCGACTCCCTCCTAAGTGCTAAAGGCCAGCACTGGAGGCTGTATCTCGTGACCAAGGTAATGTGTGTGTGACAAAAGCCAGAGCTTCAGGGCTGCAGATTTGCAGGAGACTTTGAGGAAAACCTGGTTCCAGTACTTCCTGGGTTCATATGGAGGTCCTGGGAATCCCTAATGTGACTTGAAAAGCTATGAAATTGGTGGTGTCCCTCTTCCCTGTGTTTCACTCCCACTGTGAGACCAGAATAAGGGATATCTGGTGTTACTAATCTGTGTGTTGGTCAGGGAATCTGAAGTGGTTGGGGGAGGGGTGGGCCAAGGCTGTTGATACTTGTCTGAAAAAGGCTGTTTTTGCAAGACTGGTATATTAAGCACTACAGTGTTTTTTGTTTTCTTTGTGACAAGGAAAAATGCAGGCCATGGGCATTTGTAAGCAGCCCCTAGAATGTATTTCGTTCAGTGGACCATGGTGGTAGCATTCGTGTGCCTTTGCTTTTCTTTTACCCATCTTTTCCCATTAGAAATAAATGCACTTCCAATAAGCACCTCTCTGTGCCCTTTCCCCTCATCTATAAAATAATAGTACCTGCCTCAGAGGGTTGTTGTAAGTAAGGAAATGAAATAATCCCTGTAGAGCAGTTAGGACATTAGCTGTTCTTGATAAATGTTAGCTGCATTAGCTATCA